GTTATCCGTGCCGAGGACATGGTCCACCTATGCATGTCACATGCCGTCGTATCAGTATTCTCGTAGTGGAGCCAGACACGAAATCGCGATGAGGGACCTAATCGTGTCTTTGCAACTTCCTCTTACAGTTGCGGAACACGTTCCGCCATTAACAGTCACGCAATAGACTCTCTCACAATCCTTCCAGCCCACAACACCCACAATTAACTTCCCACAGTCTTACTCCACATGTCTCTCTCATCGCGATCCCATCGGCAAGGCTGTTCTCGGCCGTTTTTCGTTGGTGACGTGGGCTGATATCATGGAGGCCGTCGTAATACAAGTGGTCGCTGGTCGCACTAACCGGCGACTACGAGCCATCTCGGCCCGACTCAGGCGGTTCGCAATACAAGCTTCGCGGTGTTGAGCGCCGTGTGGAAAGTGCCGGGTAACGCGGCGTTGCGCTCCTCGTCATTCCGGGTGGGAGTGATCGAATCGGAAGTTGCCGCCGACACTCGCTCGCTGCCTTTTGGTAGGATCTATCGTTGAGGCATTTGTAGGCGAGGTGATGGGATGAATAAGGCCGGATCGACTTGCTTGCGAATGCAGACGGCGGTAGTTGGTTCACGTAGATGGTCATTTGGTCTGAAACACGCGATGCTCTTCGTTAGTGATCAAAGTGAGGATGTGCAATAGAGAGATTGGCTGATTGAAGTGACGAGGCAATTTGTGCCTGCCTTGTATGAATTGTGTTTGTGTCTACTATTGCGCGATCTAGCTATGTCTATCATCTATAGCGACTGCTGCAGTGACTCTTGCCGAAATCAAATGAGGTACTACCCAAACGCCGTGCTATGCAGAAAGGAAAGCAAAGAAGAGAAAGAGAGAAGAGAGTCAAAACCCCCTACTCCTCAAGCACACCAGTCTCCATCATGCTCTCCCGGAGAGCCTTCTTGTACTCGCGCTCCATGCCGTGCCTGACGGCGTCGAGGACGTTCTTCACAATGGCCTTGGGCTCAAAGCGAGGTGTGGTGCCGCGCTGGTAGACACCAGTCTCTACTAGGATAGAGTACCAGTTTGCGGAGTCGGTGTGCTCGTTGTACTCGTTGGTACCCCTCACATCAGACTCGGGTGTGTCACCTACAAAGTAGACGGTTGAAGGAGCCGAGTTGATGCCGTGGGTGTCGCGACGCCACTCGGCAAGCAGGCGGGTGGCGAATTCGAAAGTGCCAATCTGAGGCTTGCCAAATGCGGTTGTCTTGAGCTCGCGGCCAGTGACAGCCTTGAACATGGCCTCGAGTGAAACACGGAGAGCACCCATACCAATACGGGTAAGGTCATGCGAAGCACTCCAGACGACATCGTTGTGAGAGAAGAAGACTGGTGGGCCTTCATCAAAGTTGGCAGATCGGGTTCCGAGACGACCGTTCTTCGACATCAGCAAGTCGAGGATGATCTGCTGATCCGATGCCCAATCGCGAGAATCGGCGAACACGAAGATGGCGTCAATGTCGACCTCAGCGAAGTTGCGGACTCGCGAGTTCTTGTATTCTTCCTCTGTGAGCTTGCGGAAGGGCGTAGTATCTTGGTTGTCTTTGATGATGTCTCCTGGAGTGACGCTGGAGCGATGTTAGTCGATGTCATGGACAGAAGTTATGGACCAACTTACACATCCTTGAAGCCGTAGCCCTCAGCGACAATGCGGCACTTCTCGCCCTCGCCTCCAACGACGAGAACGGTGTTGTACTTCTCTGCCATCTCCCTCATGGGTGTGTGTCCGCAAATGAATTGTCCAGGTGATACTTCCATCTCCATTTGCTTGCTGAGTTGCACGCATCGCTCGGCTTCAGTCTTGCCACCACCGTTTGTAACGAAGATGTATGGTACAACAATGCCGTACTCGTTCTCACCGTTGAGCATCTTCATGGCTTCAACGGCTTCTGGGATGGGTCGTCCACCTCGGATGAGGACACCATCGATATCTAGGATGCGTTAGAGAAGACTTGTTTTGCCATGGTGACTAACATACCAAAAGCGAAGGCGTATTTGTCCGTAACTGATGTCTCTGGGGGAGTGTAGCCAGGAGATCCAGGAGTGTTGGCAGCGTCAAGGTGATGTCTGGCGGTCTCGAAGGCACTGGCGATTTCTGATGCTTTTGATGAGGGGGCCATGAGATGTTGTGGGGGGACGACGACCGTTGGGCCCATCTTGATGTTGTCGCTGGTAGCCTCACTGGCAGAGAGGCGACGCATGCCCGTTGAAGGGGCTGCTAGAGAAGGTGCCGACATGATGATGGAGTGTGTGGAGTTTGGGTTCGAGGAAGTTTGCAACGTTGTTTGTTGCAAGAAGCTGTACAGTTGTGGTCTGAGCAAGTTCGAAAACGCTGGAAGTACAACAGCCTTTATAGTTTGCGAGCCCGATAGATAGGTAATGTCTCCAGAAAACCCCTCAAAGGAAGCGGAGAGAACTGTGGGTATGTGGATATGTGGATATGTGGAGGTGGGTTGATGGTTGGTTTACGCGCAGATACCCAGAGTTTTATACCGAAGAGACAAGGTAGTCTGTACTTCGCCCCCTACACTACTCAAACGTCCACTGCAACTCTAGCGGCACCGTACACTGCGCTTCTGCGTAAATGTGCCGGACCCTGAACGATAAGGGTATGGCTTGGGATTCTGTTGGATGGCATTGCGTAGATCTATGGCGTCACTCGGGCAGATTGAGGGCAAGGGACGGTTTTGCAACACCGGAATTCGATAGCGGTAGGGAGAGCCCAGGCGTGCGCTTCTGACATGTGGTGAGAGATTGTGGCATGTTTCTCGATGCCCATTCGACAAGTAGTCTGGTAATGTTGCAATAATAGTGGGTATGACAGTCACGGTACAGGGCCTCCTGCATCTCAGGCGGTCTCAAAGTATTGCCGTCCCATGCGCGCCATGTGGTAGACGGCCGCGGTTGGTGTTGCTGTGGAACTGTGTTGCAGAGTTTTGAGGGTCTTTTGCGCTAGTGATGTCATATCTGATTAGCTCGCATATCGCTTCGGCGCCTTGGAACAGCCATTCGAATCGGCTGGGGCGTCCGCAAATGAAGAGCCTCAGGGACTCAGGGCAGGCGATGCTGATGAGTCCCTTTGGAGTCTACCAGCTCCGATCGATAGCTCCTCGTTTCCGGCGAGAACCATCCGGCCGACAATTATCGCCAAGTATCGGAAGCTAGATGAGGCAACTTGAGGCTCAAACGTAGGCTATCTCGGCAGACATGCCAATCCGTCTTAGGCTCTTGGGCTCTTAGCCTTCGTCCGTCGTCACCATATTGAAAACTGACCTCGACTGAATAATACAGCATCGATAGAGACGAGACACACCTGCGGTTCCATGCGCGGGCCTTATCGCTACCTTTCACATGTCGAATGAGACGACTGACGCACCTCTCTTCCGAGTGTAGGCGCGTGCATTGAGCCATATCTCCCCAGCTTACATGCGGTGGGCCGCGAGTAGAACCAGTACCCACAGGCATAGTCTCAGGCCATAGCGCTTGACGTAACTGTACATGAATGTACACCGCAACTGGCGGCGCATGTGCAGTATTAACTGCGGCGCCAGGAAGCATGTATGCCATCATTCCGCATTATAGGATCGGGCTGCCATTGTGGATATGAGTGGTATTTACTCAAAACCAAGCTCAACACCTTGTATAGAAAAAGACGAAAAGAAAACCCCGAGAACGAAAGCTGAACGACTGTTGACGGTTAGTGGTGCGCGTAGTGGACGTAGATTGAGGCATTTGGGTGGGAACGCAACACGAGTGCCTGGTCGGTTTGGGAGAACACATTTAGCGGCCAGTCAAGTCACGCATCCTGTGCACATTGGCGCTTTCAGAATGCCGCAAGACCCGTTTAGGACCGGAATCCCCTCTGCAAGGAGCAATGATCTGAAGTAGTTCCAGCATTATGCAGGAAGCGCACTTATCGCGACCGGTGTTTTGGCTGCGAATTCTAAAGAGACGGATGAACGGGGTTTCGTTGGAGGTGGTGGACCTTTGTATGGGGCTTTGGTCGTCGAGCACGTTCTTCTCCACCTCTCCACGATTTCCCCAGGAGTTGCCCCAAAGTTTTCGCGTTGTGGATAGCTCTAAAATCGGCTTTGCAGGACTGGAGGCCCTCGCATATGTTGCTGTATGTGTTGAAGATGGTGTAGCAGCGCGATGATCTTTTAGGTCCCTTCTCCACCACCCTCTGGCCATTAATGTAGAAGATTTTCTACACCCACGGGGTTCCCGTCGCAGGGTCTCGGCACATCTGCGGCGGACCACTAGTTTTGCGGAGGGAAGATGGAGGAGGCGCTGATCGATCAGGAGATTGGACCCTCGCATCTGTAGTCGTTTTGCCGCCGGCACGACAGATCCGAGCATGAGTCGCGCAAGACACTCGAGCTGTACAGCTGAGCCTAACCGAGGAAGATGAGTAGGCCAGCGCTACGAGAGGCGGAGTGACGTGCTGCAGTTCTGTTGCAGCTTCGGGGTTCATGAGGGTGACGTGAGAGAGGAGCCGCTGAGGAGGGGAAGGAGCAGCCCATCGCAGTCGGCAAGCGCGCGCGCAGCACCTGGGCAGCTGCAACGAGCAAAGTGCTCATCCCCCAAGCACAACCCAAGATATGCTCTCCATCGGCCCACACATATTCAGGACAGCGACAGGAAAACTCTGACACGTTCGAATATGAACTGGACAGGTGGCTCGCTACAGCGCACCAAGAAAGCCAACACGGGCGTGGTCCAACAGCAGAAAGCATACTTTGCCCGAGCGCGGACACAGCTTCAAAATGATACTAACTCTCCCGTCGCTCCATTTCGCCCTAGCTATTTGCAAGACGATGGAGACTCCTACCTTTTAGGCATAGCACCATCTGGCTCAGGCTCTCTACGACACACTGGGCACGCAGCGAAACGTCGCAACGAGAGAACGCAGCCTGAGCACACGCCAGGCAACTATCAGCCAACCGCAAAACGCCGTGAGACAACGCCCCATGGAGAATCACACCCAAACGATCGGCTTACTCATAAAGGTAGTAGTGACGGCTCATCACTCACTTGCCCAAGTGACCGCAGATACTAATAGATAGATAGACTTGCGTGACGGAAAACGCAAGGCCTCCGAAGCCGATACGGAACTGCACTTACTCGAAGCGAATAGGAAGAGGCTCTTAACACAGAAAGACTGGGTCGGCATCGACCCATCGAAGCCGGTCAGTCTGCGGTTCCGCTCGAGCAGAGAGAAGAGCAAGATCGGCAAGCGCAGAAGAACGACAAGAGGACGCGGTGCAGCCCCAAGACGAAAGAACAAGGATGAATTCGGGAATGAAGTCCATGACTTTGCAGACGATTCCTTTGCCCAAGTCCATGGAGATAGTGGTCCACGCCAGCGTCTAGATGATGTTCGAATTCGGATTGGCACAGATGCAATGACAAACACTTACTCTACACAATTGGACCAATATGCGCAGTCGCATGCTTCGTCTGAATCCATGCTTTTCGACCAGGAAGGACCGCTTGCACAGCTACGCTCAGCGAAGCCACCTGCCGACCTTGAGCTTCTTGCAGCAACTAGTGCTTTCGAGCAAGCTGATGTTGCTTCCCGTGCGCCATCGACCGGTGAACAACCTCAGCACTATGGCCTTGCTCGGCGCAGTGTAGCTAGTCGTTCTCCAGACGCTTCTGAGCAAAAGAGCTTTACGGGTGACCAGTTTGAGCTGCAGTGTCAACCTGCGACGATGACTTTTCGTGAGAACGAGAGCTCTACGCATGACTTCCGACTCACACACCATGCTTACGGGGAAGAGCGCGCATTTCGTCTCGCCTTCAGCGGCTCCAACTCTACTGCAGGTGCCCGTGGTCGCACTGCGTCGGATGGCAACCAGATCGGTGAGACAAAGCCTTTTGACGATCCAGACTCGGTAGGTGAGTCCAAGACGGGATATGTGCATCAGCACAATATTGATAGGGAACGATCAGTCGGTGTTGACGTTTCTGCTGCCAATACAATCGTCGATGAGGGCCCCTGGAAGACGTATCTCGCAATCTCCGATGGTTCAAGCCACTCCGACAAATCCATTCTATCCAGAAGCAGCGTCCCGCATGATTACCCCGCCAAGAGACATAATAACGAAGCTGCAATGGACTGGTCACAGCATGCCACTCAAGGTCAGGGCAACGAGAGTCGCATTAGCTCGTCCTCCATTTCCGCCTCTTTGCCGTCTTTGAAGAGAGGTGTAAGAAAACCAATATCGGCGCATGCCTCCGACATGGCCCTCATTCGTCGGGACAGACCGGTCAACGCTGTTGTGCAAAGTCTGGACGAAGACGAGAAGAATTGGCAAGCGTTTGTTTTTCAGACCGACGATAACGATCAAGGAATGCATGATCATGCATGCAAGACATCCCCGCTGGTTCCAAAATATTCGGAGAATTCATCCTCAAGGTGTCTGCCAATATCTCGTGCCGTCAGCTCTGTCAGCCCTGCAACGTTCGAGTCTAGACCTCGAATTGCTTCTGGCACGGGCTATGACGCCTTGGAATCCAGAGCTTTAACGCCATCAACATTCCTCAACGACGGTCCATTGGGACTTGGTGAATTTGTTGAGGGAGTGAGCGGGAATAAGCAGGGCGAGAAGATGTCGGGTCGCAAAGTGTTCGACGGGCAATCCCATGCATCTCTGCAGAACCACGCTTCCTCAGACATCATCTCCTCAAGGGTCTTCAGTAGCACAAAAACGTCCCGCAACCTAGATGGACATGCCAGCGCCGTTGCACAGCATCCAACATGGTCGAACAGACGCATATTGTGCGGAAATTCGCAAGGGTCTTCCTCTGGCTGCGATATCCTGACGAGCGATGATGGGGCACTCCACCTCGTCGATCCTAACAAACGTTGACAAGGTACATGCTGGTTGGTCGTCTCAGTGCGGACGCGGGATGCCTGAGGCTGAAATTTGGTGGAAAGTTTCGGCTCTTCCTGTAACATGGATTCGCCATTTCATGCCTATCGATATCGCAACGTAGTACCGTGGTAGGCTAACAATCGGCGTGCGACCTACTGCCATGAGCGAATCAAAATATTTTATGGGGCCTACATGTTCTCATTGGCGCAGAATGTGTACGATGGGCAGTTCATGCCGCAGTCCGGTAGCATGAGCTCAGCTCAGCTCATGGACACAATAAGATTCCGATCGTCCGCGCTGCTCAACATCCGGACAGCATCGGCAGCGCAAACATGGAGCAGCAGAGTGATGCAAAAGCTCAATGCAGAAAGCCATGTGAAGATAGCGATATGAATATGTGGAGGCATCACCCTTCGCACGGGGAATGGGTACAGGGCACAGAATGCATGGTATCTTGGCCAGAGATGCATGTCATCGTTGCAAATGTTTCGAGCAGGCTCAGAGCAGGCGGGGCTACGTGCAGCGCTATTTCGGGTGAGCCCTACGAGTTGTGACAACACAGTGCCGGCCATCCTTACTTAGCAAACGGCAACGACGACAACGGCGAGCCTACCGGATATGTGTCCGAAGGGCTACGAGAGGCCGCTGGTGCCCAAGGGCCGAATGCGGTGACACGACATCAGGGCATGAAAGGAATCAAGGCATGGAAGCGGCAGCTCAGAATACCTACTGCGCATCAAAGAAACGATTGGACAAAGCGCAACGATGGACTGTGATGCATCACACCGCCCCAAGTCACATGGACAGGACGAAAGTGGAAAGCCCGGCACGTTGGCATCGTGTGCGGTTGATGCGGGGGCGTCGTGGTTTGATTGGCAGCAGGGCGCCAGGGGCAGGAATCCTTCCTTCTCGAAGCTGTGGAAAGTTTGTGGAACAATCACGCGACTCGCAGTGGCAGGGCGATGCGGATACGAGCATTGGGCGCACCGCATTGTCGCGCCATTCTTTGTGAGGAGCGGGACGTGCTGGAATTGTGAAGCAGCCGAGTCGGCTGCAGCAAATTGAGGGGCCAGCAGAAGGTTGGAGGGCGTCGACGGCGGATCCCTGACTCTGCGCCGGCCGTCAGAAGCCGGCTATGATGATGGAACCGTTGTGCCGGCTTCGCACTTGGGTTTCACTTGCCCGCGCGCCACGTGTGAGAGATGGGGGATTCCACCGCCACACATGGGGCGTTTGCACCGCGGATGCGACTGGCTGGCGGTTTGTTTCCAGCGACTGTCGGCGGAATGCAGTACACTCATTGCTTCGTGTGACTCGGACTCACCGTCTTGCTGTGCCAGGCCAGTCAGAGCTAGTATACCGCGCGCACACGATGTAGCAAACATGACGACGGCGCATCAAAGTTTTAACAGGCCAGCGCAACATACCGGTGAGTCAAAGTTGATCGACGACACACGAACCGAACAGCATCAGGGCCGCTGAGGTTGCTTCTTCGTGCAGCCATGCCATGCCCTCTCCGGAAGGCACGGCATCGTGACAATGGGCGATGGATCAGACTATGGAGCATGGCTCCCTGTGATGCAACTCGGTGGACAATGAACAAGAACAGAACATGCACTGCCCTGTCATCGCATTGTGCCATGCTGCCGCGCTGGGTGCCTGTGGAATGCCGTGGCCGTGATGCTCAGGCGACGAACGGTGAGGCGCCATGATTGGCGGACCCCATAGTATAACCATGGGCTGCGTCATACAGGACACCGTTGCTCAGTGGGGCCTTAACCAGTGTCGCGGCTCTCGCAGTCGAGCGCTAGGCCAGGAGACAAACAGGGAAGTGCCCTCGGAGCCCGAATTGAGCGGAGGCGGATGGAAGCCCGAATGACTAGGAGTCAAGGGATAATCGTGTGCTTGTAAGATTTAGCTGAAAATTCGGTGAGCGCCTTGTCTGTTCCTGGCCCAGAGACGGCCGCCAAGCGCAGCCGTTGCCCATATACTACTACCTGACTGCCCTACAGCCCACTCCTCTCGCACACTATCCAGCAACTATCCACACTACGCCCAATTGCAGACGCACAAGACCCTCACACCACCGACAATTCCACCACCTCACTCACGATACGCCGCCTCACCACACCCTTCTCCGCATTTCCTGCAGCACCCACTCGCGCGCTGACTGATTTTCGCCCGCCCTGGTCTGCCGACGCGATTCGCTTGCAACCCCCACGACTGCTCCGGAGTACTCAGATCCCAAATTATCCATGCAGAGTGCATGCAACTCAATTCTCCAGTAATCCCAGCTGACCTGCGTCTGCATCTTCGCGCAGCGCGCGCTTCCCAAGCCCGACTCGTCATAGCCCAAACGCATTCCGTCAGTCTCACGATGCGAAGCTGCTCCTAGCCTACGCTTTTCCACCAGGACCCAGCAGGCTGTTGATCCTGTCTGCTTTTATTACCCAGAGGCGCCCGCTCGCCGTTACGCTCCTTCTCCCTCACCACGGCCCGCGCCATGAAGATTTACTAGCCCGCCCCGTCACATCCTCTTGCTTGTTCCACACCACCAACCATGTCGCTGCTGCACGACGCCATCTCGCGACCGCGCATGCCTTCGCCCTCGCCCAGCTTCGGACGCGCCATCACCATTCCCGCCCGCTCCAGTCCCGCGCTGACGGCCTCGTACCTCAATGGCTCTCTCAATGGCTCCCTGCAGTCCACGCCCGAGGGCATGGTGCCCGTATCGTCCTCGCTGCCGGCCATTCCCTCCTACACCCTGCCCGAGTCGCTCCTGCCTCCACCACCCGTCCAGTCGCCGCCCACATCCTCACCCTCAGCCATGGCCGAGGCCCTAGGAAAGGGACCGGGCCTGATCCGCAGAGTGAGCCGCGGCGCGCAGGGCATTCCAGGTCGCTTCCGCCGAGGCAATGCGTCTGCGCAGCGCGACAAGAGCTCCGGCCCCGTCATCATGCGCCGCCGCAGCGACAGCAGGACTGCCGCCGACGCCGACACTGGCATCTCCGACTTCGATGCCTTTGAGGAGGAGGAAGCCGTAGAAGACCCCTTTGAGCCCATCCACGGTCTCGGCATTTCACACCCAACACCCAGCTTCAGCTCGATACCAGACGCCGCCGTCGTCGCCCCCGTACGCAACTCGCGCCTCGAGCAAGGCACCGTTCTGAGAAAGATTACCAAGAAGGAGAAGAAGGAGATCAACCTGCGGCTCGATCTGGAATCAGCCAAGGTGTTCTGGGATTCCTCGCGCCCCTCCAAAGCCTTCTACATCGACGATGTCAAGGAAATCCGCTCAGGTCCGGAAGCTAAGCACTACCGCGAAGAGTGCAACCTATCCGAGAACTGGGCCCCCTACTGGTTTACCATTGTCTACACCGACACAACACGCTCCAAGGGTCGGATACGGACCATGCACTTGATTGCGCCTGACGTTGGCATCTTCAACATGTGGACTCAGACGCTTGAGTCTGTGTCGCGCAACCGCATCGACCTGATGGCCGGCCTCTTGGGCTTTGCCGACAAGAGCGCGAAGCTCGTCTGGCAACGCGCAATGAAGAAGCGTGGCGAGGGCGACGAGACACTTGACTTCCCCAGCACCGTCGAGCTGTGCCGAAGTCTACACATCAACTGCACCGAAGCCACCCTTCGCGCCTACTTCCAGAAAGCCGATACCCTCGACGCTGGAAAACTAAACCAATCGCAATTCTTGTACTTTGTGCGCCGCCTCAAGGAGCGCAAAGACATCAAGGCGATCTACAAGACATACACGTCTGGCTCAAAAATTGAGATGGACAAGTACACTTTCTTCGATTTTTTGCAGCGCGAGCAAGGCGTAGACGTGAACGCCGATCTCGAATACTGGACCAACACCTTTGAGAAGTTTGCACGTGCAACAAGACCCAGAATGGCTGCTACTCCGACCGAAGGCGGAGAGGTCCCATTGCCATTGGCCATGAACTTCCCCGCTTTCCAGACGTACCTGACTTCGGCTGCCAACTCCATCCTCAAGCCAGTCGGCCAGCCACAGGAACTCAACCGACCATTGAACGAGTACTACATCTCCAGCTCACACAACACTTAC